AAAAAAAAAATCACATTAAGCACTTAACCACTTTCCTTGGCATCCAAGTACTTCCCAGCAGTAATTACCGTGAAGCTTAGCACTCCTATCTTTGTGTTTTCAAAGCACTATGCAGTTGTTCATGTATTTTGACAAGACTATAAAATCTGCATTATCTTGAATTTACAGCTGAGGAGGACTGAAACAAAAAATAAGAGATATTAAGCATAAGCACACAATTTATCAATGAAATATTGAAAATAAATTTTTTTCATTTTTTAGTTTCTAGGTCACAAAATTCCAATATTCAAACCATTTCAAGTTTTTGATACATTCTCCTATTATGTTGCTGTTCTGAATAACCCTGTAAAAGACAGTCTGCCTAACCGTTGGTTCATTAACTCTCCTCCAGTAATAGAGAACACCTTGCAGATGTTACAACTGTGTTTGTTTGAGAGAACATACACTTTAATTGGGCTTTTAAAAGATTAGGAATGCTTCCTCACATTCATATATCCACTCACATTTAGGAAACCTTTAAAGCATGCAGAGAAACGAGTTATAAACCCATACAGGATCTCACACGAGCATACAGTAACATAATCCTGTAACACCACCAGTACAGAAAACAGACAATATACTAAGATTTCTCAGGGAACAGCACATTTCCATGGCAGTTTTCATCTGCAGAAATTAAATTACAATATTTTATTTTCAAAGTGAAAAATATTTCCCTAATAAACTTTCACATAAATTTAAATTTCTTTATGGTTCCACTTCTTTTCAAGGAACCAGTTTGATTTTAACTACCTCAAGTAAACCTAACATAGATCATTAAAGTTAACTGTAATTCTAATTCTCCACTTTGAACAATACTTCTATCATATATTAAGATTTCTAAAAGCAGCATTTTAAAAGAGAAATTCTATGTTTATGCACACTGACAACCCCTATACCCTATAAAACATACTTATTTCATATTAAAATCATGCATATACATCTTGCTAGTTAATTTATTGTGATCAAGTTGACAATACAAATAGCCTCACAAATAACTAGTATTTGAACTCATTTTAATTCTGAAAACTTACTAGTAGACAATTACTTTCCATTTAAATTCTGTCCAGTATGCTTCAATTTCACATTTAAAGCAACCCAAGAAGTAATTCATATCTTCAAATATATTCATGAAAAATATGCCATCAAAGTATCATACTCTGTCAGATGCAACCTAGCGACAGCTCACATATGTGTAATACAATTTTTTATTACTTTTAACGCTCTACATTTTCTGTTATTAAGATTCAGGTTATATTCAGTTAGCAACCATTACAAAAACTGATGTAAAGTGGCCATCTTTTGGAGTTCGATTTGGTTGTAATTAACAAAATTTCATGTATGCACACTGTTTGACAAGCAAACATACAGGAGTAAAGATATCCACACAAAGGACACCACAACATTGCAATAGTGGAAATGAAATAAACCTACAAAGCAAAAAGGTAACACAGAAGTCCTGAGATTGCTTACTTGCAAGACTGGCCTTCATCCTTGGGAATCATCCTTGGGAATCTGACTGGTGAACAGTTCCCTATGTAGCGGTTAAGCTTTCCCTAAAGACTCAAACCAGTGTACATGAAACCATGAGGGAAATGATGTACTACACAACCCAGAGCCACCTGACATTGACACTCAACTGAAGGTCTTAAAATAAACTTTACTAATAGCTTAAGTCACTTCGAGATGGGATTTTACTACTGGTAGTCAAAAGTCTCTTTGAATTTCCATTTCTACAGACTTACATAAAATGACCCTGAGATTACAGGCCAGAGCTCCCTGTTCTTTTATTGCAGAGCTGACTGTGAATGTGGGCAAAGCACTTACCATTCTGGAAGTTTCTCCAGTGTACAAGTGAAATAATACCTAGTATTTTATAAGAATTATTGTGAAAAGAAATAGGGAGTTTTCATATCAGATAAGTTTTAAGCAAATAATCTGGTATACAAGTAGCCAACTATGTATACATACCTCCAAGTGCCCCAACCCTAGAATATTCAAATCCCAGAAGCTCTGCTTAGAATTGTCTATATTCTAAAAATGCCCCATCTTTTACCAGAAACATCTGCATGCTAATCGAGGGAAAAGATATTGTTTAGTAGTTATGTGACAGCATGATTCAAGTAAAGGGAAGTTTTCTGTGGGTAGGATTAGCATTTTGATTTTAAAAGATTATAGATATCACACATTTTCAAACGCAAGACAGAATTCCTAATTATACAATGCTGGAAAACAACAAAGTGTAACCATTATAAAACAGGATAAGCTAAACATGAAATATAGTTGGTGTGCACTCAGAGCAATTTAACAACATAGCTCTCTTAATTTCCATTTAAATGACTCAAATGAGAAATTAATGGAGAAAAGCATTCATGAAGACTCAACATTTTTTTCTAGAATTTGCATTACTATTCTTAGGGTTTTATTAGAAACAATCAGTATTTAAAATGTTGTTCTTACACAATGTATTTTATATATACATACACACACAAACACACATATGCATACATGCACACACACAGGGATGCACACATACATGTATCTATACATAAAAACATACAAAAAGGGTAGACCAAAGGGAACTTTAAAACAAGCAGCAAAGACTATTTAACGGACTGCAGTAGAACATAAGCTTCCTAAATTATTGATCAAGTAAGTTACTCACCATGTAAGCTTCATATATTAAAAAACAAAGCAAATAAGGCAAAAACCTTATCTCACTTCACCATAAGTCATATAAAATAGTTCAAATAATATCATTAAAAAATAATAAAAATAAAATATATCATAAACAAATCCATTAGGCTATAGAAAATAGTCATTGACATGTAATAAACATTAGCACTTCAAGAAAAAGATTTTAAATATAATAGTTAATGTTAGAAGAATTGTAGTTATACAGTATAACAGAAAAAAGTTATAAGAAATAGTAATAATCTGAAAATTACAGGATTATTTCTATTACATTCTAAATTCAAATTTTTCTATTCATGACGATGAAATGTCGAAATTAAATATAAATAAATTCTTATTCTAACTTTCTGTACTTTTATTCTAGGACCATATAAAGTATTGCCATTTCAAAGAAATAGCCTAGTTTCCCAGAAGAATTATTTTTAATACTGGCAATCTTCCTGTTCAATACACAAAATATAAATCTTCTGTCAGAAAAAGTTCAAAATTAAGACCTCTATACCAGGCTTTTTGTTCTGTGCTTTCTTTTCCTCTTGGATGCAGGGAACTCTAAAGACACAAAATTAAGATATGTTAGGTCTAAAAAAAGTAACTACTTGATAATATACCTTTCAACTATACAGTTGTTTAATTTATACACAGTAATAATGTCTTCAAGTAAAGCTCCAACAAGAAACCTTAAAGCAGACATTTAAATGGTTTTTTTAATAAATGGTATTACAGCTGAGAATTTATTCATGGAGACCCAGTCATCCCAAACCCTACTTAATGATCAACTACCGTGAAGTTGTGTCATGTGTGCAAGCCTTCCCCATAGCTAGCACAGACCCAGCATGCCAGATCTGAAAGTCAGGGAGGTCAGTGCCAAGAGAGGTATAAAGTGACTGAGATTTCTAGATTTTCTTGTGTTTTAGTTGTTTACTCGTCATAAAAGTCACCAACCAAAACCAAAAAGTCTAGAACTCAACATAAAACTTCAAAGGACAGTTAAATGCTAACTTAAGCAAACAAGCACTCAGATTTCTGAAGGAACAATAAACATTCCCCTGTAATTGTCTGACGTTTGCCTTTAGTATGCTTCTACTGCACCCTCTTAACCATTAGGTACCAAGCTGGTTTTCTCCTTGGCACAGACTGGTGTGGTTCATTCAACAAATACCTACTTATCTACTATGGGCCAGGCACTGTGTTCAGAACCGTGATCAAAATTAAAATGGTTCTTATATCCCTGTTGCATATATCTTTGTATCCCTGAACCTGTCTAAATGCTTACAACTCTACAGGCCCTCAATAAACACTAAATGAATAAGAATCACTAGGCAGTATTCTTAAAATACACTACATTCATTGTCATTTATGGGTTCCCAGTTACCAAGTCTAGCCTGCTATGGAACAATTTATTTTCTGTGTTATTATAATTATTACTAAGGTAACAGTTATTTATACTGCTACAAGTTATGAAAATCACAACAATGAAAGGTCTATTTAATTCATGTTGTGCAATTTACCCCTACTTATGAGATAAACTGTGTTTTCATTGGTTAAAATTATACATTTACTTGAATTTAACATAAGTATTTTTAACAATAAAATCTTTTTGAAGTTATATGCAGAAATTTGTATCTTGTGGACCTTGTGCTTTGCTAGAAATACTTTCTAAACATCCTCATGATTAGAGACACTTAATAATATGTTCTCTACCCTTTACCTCTCACCTCCACCAACCCCTGCCTTACTAAAGGACCCATTTATTGTATTATCATTTACTTTTAAGTGCTATGTTTGAAAGCATGATTAACAAAAATTATGCCAATGTGCCAAAAACATCACAAAAAAACATAGTCAATCACCATGTTCTTAATGCTATAAAGCATAACTTTTCTTTGAGTAACATGACAAAATTTTATCTGTACCTGATTCACTAGAACTTTCATTCTCCTCTTTCTCTTCTGTAATTACAGGCATACTCAGACTTAAAGATTTGTCTTCTTTCGGTACATTCTGTATGTCACCTGGGAATAATTGAAAAATTATTTTACATGAAAATATAAAATGCTAACCTTTGAGAAAAAAAATTATGCAAATAATATTATAACATAAACAACAAATATTTAAACTAAGAAGCTAAAATTATAATGGTAATGGGAAATACACATTTTAAAATATACATTTCTTGATATGTATTTACTTTGAAAATAGCCTGTTGATCTTCCATTAAAGTAAACAGAGGAAAAAGGAAAAAAAAAAACAAAATTAGACACATATCTTATTCAGTCTTTTATCATGTATAGTACAGGTTAAATCAACAGGCAATAATTGTGTGTTACTTCACCTTTATTAAATTAAGTAATCAAATGGAATCTTAAATTTAATACCCTTGTTTTTAAATGCAGACACATTCTCTTTTACCATCACATAGATACCACCAGTTATATTATTTTTCTAGTCATAATATACTACTGAATTGTCAATTTCCAAAATATTGGAGGCCTTCTATACTACATCAACCTCCTGTTGCCTGAAGAATCAAATGCATCAGGTCTCACTAAGTACATGCCTTCCATACTGCAACAGTAACATACTCCAATAACCCTTATTGCTAATTCTGCCTTATCTTCTCCACAACATTTTTACCACTAATATGTATTAATTTGTTCACCTCCTTCTACTAAAATGTAGGTTTCAGAATACAGATTTTGGATTGTTTAAACTGATGCATCCCTAGCTTTTACAAAAGTGCCTGGCACATAGTAGGGTCTTAATAAAAATTTATTTAATAATTAGAAGTGAATTCAACTATTTTAAAACACAGTATTTATCACAGAATGCTTATGTTAGCAAGTACCAGTCAGCACTGGAAGAAAGATACTAAATGAAAATTTAAACTTTCTGCTCTCCACAAATGTGTGTTAAATGGGTATGCAAATGTTAAGGCATGAGTAGGTTGCTGTAAGATGGACTTGAGTAAACTATAGCAATGATCTTCCATTTTAAACACAGTTCAAACATAATAAAATACTGATTTACCATTAAAAAATTCTATCTTGACCTGCAGAGTCCCAAGTATTGCATTGATTTTTTTAATATTATTTTCAAGATGACAGATAACCTTTCAAAAATATCTCTCCACAGCTAATCACATTTTTTAGATTTCAAATCCCTACATTTTTCAGTTGGTCACAAAATTATAATCAGTACAATCTATCCAAATTACTAATATTGATCATCCATATGAATTATTCATGATTCTTTCTTCCTTTCTTTTTGTTTTTTTTTAAAGGTTTATTTCTTGATGCATACAGAACTGGGGTACAGGTCAGAGGTGCGGGGGCGGTGAGAGGATTCACCATAGACAGAGTGGGGAACAGAACAGGCAGATCAACGAAGTCCACTGCTGAGGGGAGCAGCGGGCGGGTCAGGAGAGGTCTGTCACATCATGTGGGTCACCTCCGGGGCGGACAGGAATCGAACTCATGCTGAAGTGGTTTTAGCTTCTTAGTGCTGTGTTTTAACCCACTGCGCCACCAGGGAAGTCCCTATTCATGATTCTTTAAAGCCATATTTACAACCTAACAACAGCTATCCAACAGTATCAAGGGTAGGGTTTTTCTTTCTTTTTTTGGCATAGAAGTATGTGTGTGTGTGTGTGTGTGTGTGTGTGTGTGTGTGTGTGTGTGTGTGTGTAAGGGGGGGTGGTCTTAGATGACTCCTTACCTACCAAAGTCTAAATTTCTTGGTTCTACATTTAAGCCTGATAATAGTATAATCCTACTCTTTTTTTTTTTTTTACATTTATTTATTTATTTATGCATACAGAACTGGGGTACAGGACAGACTTATTTATGCATACAGAACTGGGGTACAGGACAGAACTGAGCTCATACACAAAAATAACTAATAAAATGTGTTATGAAGAATTCTAGTCTGACTTTATTACTACTTAGCTATATGACTTTTGGACAAGTTATGTAGTTTACATGGACCTAAATCTCATCATCTACAAAGTGATGAATCTGATATAATGCCTAGGGTTCTTTTCATGAACAAATCCCCAAAATTTAAGATAATTTATTTTTAATATTAAATCTCATAGGTTCTCCATCAAACAATATATAATCCTTTTTAATAAAGACAAGATGGTAACGGGAAGTTGTAAGTAAGATTCATATCCTCCACTACATCTCAGTATGACTTTCAAAAGTTACCTCGGGAAGATGTCTTCCTTCCTGCTGATTTCAATGTTTCTTTGTTTCTTTTTTTCCTAGTTGCTTTAATTTGTCCTTGACCAGATGCAGAATCAGAGTCAGAGGAATCAAGTCTGACTTGACGATGCCTTCTTGACTTAGATGCCTTAAGAGTAAGAAATCCAATTAACCACAATAAACCACAAAATGAATCCAACATCCAATTAACCACAATGAACCAAAAATGAAGCCAACTCACAGATTATTCAGGAAAAACAAAAAAAGACAATCAAGATAAGGACAGATTTACAGAAAAATATTTGTCCTAAAATGCTTTTCCATGATAATGGCTTGCTTAATACACGTCTTCTACATACCCTCTCTTATAACATGAAAAGTTCCCTGTATCTGTCATCACCATCTACTTCAACTGAATTAAAATGTGGCTGTTGGGAGGTAGTTGCATATTTAGGAAAGTGAGGTATAAAGGTCAATTGTTTTTTACTGCCTGAAAACCTATCCTCCCTTACTTCTAATAACATTTTATCTTCCTTAAGTAGATAAAATGAATAGAATTCATTTGTTTTTGAATAGAATTCCTTACCCCTGACTTTAAGTTATGTGATATGGCACAGATGTGATCAAAATGAGTTTTACATATTCATGGCCACTATGATTGGTCAAGAGTGGGGATATGGGCTTTCCTTATGGTGCAGGGGTTATAGACACTGTTATCAAGCGACCACCAGCCACAGTCTCATGAGTCCAATCCCTGGCAAAAGAGCTGAGCAACATGATACAGCAGAGCTCTCCTGACTCCCCCTATGCTCCCCTCAGCAGTGTATTTCAGTACAGAGGCCTTCTCTGCTTCCCACTCTGTCTCTGGTGAATCCTCTCACCCACCCCCCACACCTCTGGCCCACAGACCAGTTCTTAGTTTTTTAAATAAAACTTTAAAAAAAAAAAAGAATGGAGATATGATCTCTATAATAGAATTTTGTTGAAGCTGGAAGACAATACAAACCAGAGTTTCAAAAGTCCAGGAAAACCTTAGGGGAAAAGAAAAGTTAAGATGATGCCTCTGGAGATTACAAAGGTAGGAGTGAGAAAGGGTGGAGCAAGGGTCTGTGTGTTTATATAACCTACACAGCCTTCTTGGACTTTCTTTTTTTTTTTTTTTTTAAAGATTTATTTATTTGTACAGAACTGGGGTACAGGCCAGAGATGCGGAGGGTGAGAGGATTCACCAGAGACAGAGTGGGGTACAGAACAGGCAGATCCAGATCGACAAAGTACACTGCTGAGGGGAGCAGCGGGCGGGTCAGGAGAGGTCTGTCTCGCCATGTGGATCTCATGCGGAAGTGGCTTAAGCTTCTTTGTGCTGTGCTTTAACCCGCTGCGCCAACAGGGAGGGCCCTTCTTGGACTTTCTTAACTATGCTCATGCTTGAGCAAAAACACAAATTTAATCTAAAAGCATTGAGTTTAATCCTAAATTACCTTAAAGAAGTAACTTACCTGAACAACAACTGAAAAGGCCTTTGATTTTATTTTCGCTAATGATTCTGCCCTTTCACATCTCTGGAAGTAAAATAAATAGAAGGGTGAAAAGTTAAAACACATAAACATTAAATGAGATTATGAGTGCCCAAGTATCTGTTATCAGAAATAAAATTTGAGACGTGGCATAAGAGAAACTAACCTTTACTGGACCCATATTGGGCACAGACACACACACCACATGTTCCCAGCAGGAACCAGGATACCTTCCCCATAGCCACTAGCTGTTTCAACTCAGAATTTAAAGAATATGAACGAAAACCCTTGGTAATCGGTACCTACAATATTGCCTTATCCACAAAGATGGACAGACACAAGAAGCAGTAAATTGAAGTTTAAGCTCAAATGTCAATAAGAAGTAAGAACAACAAATTATAAAAGCCTTTTTCTGCTCCTGTGAGGACCAAGGACTTTCCATCATACTTTCTGTTCTCTGATGAACACCAATAAAAGCCTCAGCCCCAAGCTACACCCAATATGGTCTTTCACAGGGCTGCCAGTAAAGCATATTTCAGAACTTCCTGAGATATTTATGGTAATACTGGCCAAGACTCACAAAGCTTAACATATAAAACCAGTCAAACATAAAATGAAGGAGTTAACCAAACTGTCAATCCATAGGCAATCTTGAAACAAATTTATCTGACCTCTGATTTCTGGGAATTCTTGTCCCTCCTCTCTTCTCCATCTTTAACTTTTGATTTTAAGGAAGGATTCTGAAAGAGCAAAAAAGAAAGTTATATTTATCTATACACACACACAATTACAACTCAAATTAAATAAAATTAACTGCAAATCAACTATAGAATGAGAATCATTTACTTTTAATTACTGAAAAGCTGAAAGATTGTTTGAAGTTAGTGTAATTCACCACCTGATATTATAGGAATACAGGCAGATCTAGAATCAATATTTGAATCAGAAAACTAAACTGAAGATCTGTGTTGATGAAACTTGTAAGTCTGCGAACCAGTCAAGTAGGGCTTGCCATGAAGCACAAGCCCTGTCACATTGGGGAGACCACCACTTCCCCTGCTGCTTCTGCCATGAAGCAAAAGTGAGACTAGTGAGCAGACCTCTGATTTTAAAAGAAGCTGAATATCTGGACATTTTTAGTCTACAAACACTTAAATGTTGATAAATAAGTCAAATTTTTAAAACAATATTATGATCAACACTAAGTCAAACAAAGATAGCTGGCTGAATGCAGGTCTTGGCCCTGAGACTGCCAGTGTGCAACTTCTTAGAAAATGCTAAAAAGTTATATTCTAATAAATCTGTGGGACTCCAAGATGTTTATTCCCTTAATTACATTTTTGTATGCAATGAATGTAATTGTGATATGTAATTATTAATAACTGCTTACTAACATATATTATGTAATCATATGTAAAGTACATTTGTAAAGTTAATTAACATTACATACTAAGTAGCAAAGTCCGAGTTGGACTCACATACAGTGTAAATCAAAGGTGAGGTATCAATCACATACTTTTCTGTCTTTGTGCCATTGTTGATGCTCCAAAACTATGTTCTTGATATTGTCAAAAAAATCGTCCTTTATCAAACTAAGGGCTTTGTCTGGATAGGATTTATCAGTTGAAATTATATGTTTCATGTTTTGATAATGATCGTGAACATTCAGCATTTCCTGAAAGTGAAAAGATGAATCCTTTATGTCAAGTTTTGAGGAGAAACATAAAAGCAAACAAAATAAAATCATCTTCTGAAGTAATTGAGTTGATAAGGAGTAACATGCTATAGTATCTTGAAAATCCTTAACTACTTTATTAATGGAGACAACTTCTCAGAGGTATGAGTTCAGTTCAACAAACATCAATTAATACACAAAGCATGGAGAGACAATGGGGAAAAACTCATCAACATGCATTGCATTCCAATTAACTGTTATCAATTAACGGTACAATATTAATTGTATCATTGAGTATCATTACTAATAACTAAAATCATATTTTCATTTCATATGGTCACATCAAAGATATTTACATATTTCCTGATGCTCAGCTGAAAATTCCTATAAAATGACTCTCGTTTATGCCTTCACAGAGATGTGCTGCCTTTTACAAGTCCTAAAGCCCATCTACTATTCTTCATAAACTTCATCATTGCTTCAGTGATAATTCAAATTCAGCATTAAATGAAACTGAGGGTGATTTATGACATCATTTCAGGTATCACTTGTGCACTGGGCCCTTCATCCCCCAGAAACATCCAGGTAAAAGACTAGGTCTATGAATAAGTGAAAAGATAGTACATTGCAGGCAGACAAGAAATCATACAAAACCAGCACTGGAGCACAGTGTGAAGGTCAGCAGAAAGCTACTGACACACCTGTTACAGATCATCACTGCAACACCTGAGTCAGGCCTCAACTAATGTCTAGTGGATTTTAATAGGCTACTCAACTAATGTCTAGTGGATTTTAATAGAATCAACTAACATCTATTCAAGGAATCAAAAAAGGCTAAGTACTGCTCACACGTGCAGGATCTTCAGAGGAGCAAGAGTATCCAGACATGGGGAGCACCTAACTTCTTAGTTTATTATGTGCTATACTCCCATTATCTTAAACATGCAACAAAATACAGGAGAAAAACCACTAGCTAAACCAGGCTTTAAGTTTCACTTCTGTCACTTACTACATTATGACCTTGTGCAAACTACTCAGGCTGAGAATGACATCACACATTTGGTCAAAATGAATTAGTGTTAACCTAACCTCCCATAAAAGTATTAAGTGAGCCTGTACAAGAGGTCTACACAATGTCAAACACTATAAAATTAGAAGAATTAAGAAATAAAAGACAGTGCTTTACCAACCTGGACATCTAAATCCAGCATTTGCACCTTAGTGCATCTTACTTCATACAAATTTAACCTCTCTGAGCCTCAGTTTCCTCATTTTTTAAATAGGGGAAATAGTACTTCCTTTGTATGGTACCATGATGAGTGAGATAACACATGTAAAACACCTGAATATTCCACATAGGTCATTATTATTAATGTATTAAAGAAGAAACTGACTTGAAATGAAGCCATTTGCCAAAGGTTATATTTAAGTAGCAAATCAGATATTTCAGTCTATGAGTTAGATGAGACAGCTGATTTAATACCCAATTCCCTTCATTTTACTAACCATGAACCTAGAATAATGATCAAAACTCAGGTCTGCTGAAAAGAATCTTCAGACAATAAAAGAAAAGTAGATAAATATTAAAATTTAAGGATTATCAATGAGAATGGGCATAGGCTATGCCAGAACAGGAGAAATGAGATGAAAAAGGTATTGATAGAAAGCTCTCACAGCAGACCTGTAGCAAGCCAGAGATCCTATATGAAGTCAGGGTGACTTTCCACAGACTGCGCTATTCCTAGAAGATTCCAGGAAGAGGCATCTTATGGCCTGGACTTCTGGACCCTCTGAAATATAATATATATAGGGAGAGACTAGACACATACATTTATACACATGTATATTCTTTTGCTATGTGGTACATCCTGATAGAATGCTGCAGTCTTAAGAGTGGTTTTGTTTTAACCTTGGAGTAATGCTTTCTACCTGGTAAAATTCTAAATACATGTCACTACTTATCCTTGTGAAACAAGATATTTTTTTTTAGGTTTATTTTTATTCATACAGAACTGGGGTACAGGCCAGAGGTGCAGGGGTGATGAAAGAGGATTCACCAGAGACAGAGTGGGAAGCAGAACAGGCAGATCGACAAAGTACACTGCTGAGGGAGCAGAGGGTGGGTCAGGAGAAGTCTGCCACGCCATGTGGGTCACCTCCGGGGCAGGGGATGGAACTCACACTGAAGCAGCTGCGGGGGATGGAACTCACACTGAAGCAGCTGCGATTGCTTGCAGTGCAGTGCTTTAACTCACTGAGCCACCAATAAGGGCTTTTAATACTACACAACTCAAAATATTTAAGATGTTAAAGCTCTCTTAAGAAAAGCTCTTGGCTATATCCATTAACCAAATTTCCTGACTTAAAATTTTTGTTTTATCGAAATACTCATTGTTTTCAGTGGTTTTAAAATAAGCACTGCAGAAAGGATCTTAAATTGACAAATGCTGTTTAAAAATAAGTTAAAATAAAGTCACTTTAAGATCTTGTTTTATGACCTGTCTAAATTCAAATACAAATGATGGCTCCAGTATTTAAATCCAAATATCTTGAGTTCAAGTGAAGTCTTCTACAACTTTCTGTTCTCAATGTTTAAAGATTTGATATATAAATCTTAATACAATTATGATACATTGTTTTTTATAATGAGAGAAAATAGTATCCTATACTTAGTGAAAATCAGAAAAATTTTCAGTGTAACAGTGACAGTATAACCTCAATATATAGTTGACAATAAAACAACTTCTTTTAAATCAAAAGCATAAAAGCATATTTACCTCTAATACATCAGAAGTAATAAGTTTCATCACACGATCATTTGGATCTTTAAATTCTTCAGTAACTTCAGTTCGTTGAATTTTTTTCTTCATTCTATATGACAGCTATATAATAAAAGTCTTTTAAAACTGATGCCTTTTAAAGGACCATTTTGTAGTGCTGAAATATAAACTTGCAGTAAAAATGGTCTATCCCTAAACAAAAGCAGCTCTAAGTGTGTATTTATTAAATAATCCACTTTTTAATGAAATAACCCATAAGATGCCATATATACCTCTAAGTGTATATTTATTAAATAATCCACTTTTCAATGACTGAAATAACCCATAAGATGCCATATCACCTGCATGAAGATTCAGAGAAATTACATGTTTTGCCAACTAATGGCAGAACCAAAACGAGAAACTTATGTACTATCAACCTCGTATCTCAACTGTCACAAGACTGAAGAAATATTTATTTCATCAGTGGAAATTTCAACTTTCCACCAACTGACATAAAACTCCTTGGTCCCCTTTTAGTAACCTCTCTAAATGTTTGAAAAAAGGAAGAAACAAATGTAGATGTTGAATCTAATTTCTTCTCTTAACAGCTTTTCTAGAAGACAGCATCCAGACACAGTGCATCTAAAAAAAGAGACTATATTTGCAAACTATATTCTTTCCACTTTAAGGAAATTAAGGTACTTAATGGACATTGAAACAATTTCTAATTTTGAAAAAAAAAAAATTGAGGTTAACATACCAATTTCGGCATTGCTGTATAGTGAAAAGCTTTGTCTAGTCGTAACTTCCTGAAAATATAAGCTGCATCAAAATGTTGTGCATTTATCAAATCTTGCTGAAATTTTAAAACTTCATCCCAATCCTTGAGGGCAACTCTAATCTGTAAACAAGAGTAAAAAAGTTGTTACTAAATGTAAGTCTTTATGCACAAGTATATTATACTTTTAAAACAGTGGCATTGCTATCTGTCAATATGGCATAAAAATATTGTACTTATTTTGTATTTCTGCTAGGGTAAAACAAGTCACCAAGTATTACCTTTTGTTTTGGTTGACACAGTTGGGTGTTATATAATCCATACAGCAGATATAAAGCGCCAACTCTGATCTGAAAGGTATATGGAGGTAAAAAGTATCGCCAAGCCAAAGCTAATGCTTCTTTTGTAAATGTATTCTTTTCTAGATTTCTCATTCTACCACTAGAAAACAAAGAGATGCATATTATGATTCTAAGTAAGTAACTGGAACAAAAACTAGAAAAGATATATACTTGCTTAATTAGGAGTTGCTAGAAACTGGATGATTACTTATCATCCTTTCATGATCAAGCAGAAAGATCAATGTTCTGCCAAGCTTCTTATACTAAGCACAGGCATTTGTTAAGTGACTATGAAACATCCTTTGAAAGCTTCAAGCTTACTTGCTGAATTGGGAAGCAAAACAAGGGAGTTAACAATTACTAACTAAGAATATAAGATTTAACATGTTAAGATAACCATGATTATACTACAGAATAAAATACAAAAATGACATGCATTTTTAATATAAAACAGTTTTTCCCCAAGACTCAAGATTTCACCTAAACCACATATGTCCTCAAGACACCTAGATGCAAAAATAAGAAAACAATACAATGAAACCCTACCACCACCATCACCTTTCTCTTGGGCCCCACCAAACCTATAAAGCAAAATTTATCAAAGTAAAAAAAGCAGCACTGTTGCTTTATTTACACTTGGAAAGACATGGAAACAACTCAAATGCCCAAAAGTAGATGAGGTACATATACACAATGGAATATTACTCAGCAACCAAAAACAAAAAACACAAAAAAAAACACAAAAAAACAATAAACACATGACTTTTGCAGCAGCATGGATGGAACTGGAAAAGATCATGCTTAATAAAATAAGTCAGAAAGAAAAGGAAAAATACCGGATAGCTGAGTATAAAGGATCAGGCAAGAAAATAATAATGAACAACTATATACCAGAGACATTTTGTGGGGGTGGAGTGGGGAATGGGATCAAAAACGGTGGGGGGAGGGAAGTGCACTGGACTATGGTGATGACACACGAGTGATTTGGTGATGGGAAGCCCACGAAGATTACAACTGAGTTGGAAAAAGGCACAAAATGATGAAAAAATAAACTATTATATATTTAATATATTATTATATATATATATATTGTACATATATATATTAAAAGCAGCACTGTAGGGAGGTAGCCCCTGTACATTCTGAAAACCTTGGCTCTTGAAATAAAAAGTATACTAGAAGAAGGCAAAAATACCTACTATAATATTGACAGCTAAAGCAACCTTTAAAGAAAATCCACTCCTCAGTAGTCTCTATTTTAATTTTAATTTTTCTTCAGTAGCCAAACACCTGGGTAATCCTAACAAAATTTCCCTGGACTGCGACTTTTCCTAATAGGGATACAGTGAAAGATCTTAGGTTTCAGTGTCTGCTCAACCACTTATACTTTTGTGAATTTCGTGAAATTACTAACCCCCTTAAGCTTCAATTTCTTTATCTATGATACAAGAATAATAATTCCTGTTTCTCAAAGTTGTTCTATACATTAAATACATTAATTTATAAATGCATTACATGTAGTAACCAATTAAAAAATTAGTTCCTCTTCTTTCATTAACTGTACAAATAACGTTCCATCCTCTATCCCTGCAATGTACAAACTATGTAGGTTACTATTTTATATTAACATGGAGGAAAATGAGAACTTCATCTTATTCATCATAATACCAAGGATTCTTCACTTGATTATTTAGCCTTTTCAATATAATATACAATGTGCTAATAATGGATACCAAATTCATCAAGGGCCTCAAGCTGTCAAGCAGAGGGAAAGTTAAAAAGTATAATAATAAACATTTAGTAAGCATTTAGAGTGCACTTAACATATACGGGCTTATTTAATTCTCAAAACTAAATTATAGGGCATATCAGTCCTTTTTTTACACATAAGGTAACTGAGGCAAGTAGCATGCCCAAAGTCAGACGACTCTGTTTCAAATTCAGGTAGCTTGAGTGCACTACCTGTGTTCTTAACCTATACTATACTGTACTGACTTCTGAACTACACACAATATAATGTGTTAAGTTGCTAGCTGAAATAAGCGTAAAGTGCTGGGGATGGGGCAGTAAGAACACCTTATTTTAAAGGGCAAAGAAAGCCTCCCCTGAAGACTTGAGCTGTAACCTGACAGAAGAATACAGCAGGTAGGCAGATGCTGTAGCAAGAAAATTAGAGCAGGGAGACCAAGCAGCAGAGACTGAAGGGCCCAGTGGCTTGAAGGACCTAAAGTCACTTATGTGAATTTGATGCTGATATCCAGGGTAGGGGATACCACTCAATGGCCAGGCAGCAGGAAAGTGACATGATCAATTTTGCAATTTAGAACGATAACTTTGATTGTTGCATGAAAATGAATTCAGTCGGGCGGGGTGTAGCCTGCAGGTCTAGGAGAACAAAACTGGAGGAGGCCAAATGAAGATGACCCAGGTGAGGGTGGAGGCAGGGAGGACCGTGCGGCGACCAGGCATTGACACATCCGAGAAAAAACCGCAAAAGGATGCAACCGAAGCCGACACACTCCCCAGGGAAAGCGCGCAGCCTGCACACAAGTGAAGAACCGGGAGAGGAGGAGGCAGTAGCCAGTCACTCCTCAGTCCCACCCGGGTGAGGTGACGGAGAGGGAAAGGGAGCAACTTCCTACCCGTCCCCGAACCCGGAGACAGGCGCCTGGCGAACCAGAAACACCCACCAGAAGATGGCCCCGAACTTCATGCTCCTCCAGAGCTCGGAGAAGTCCTCGAACCGCACGCTGTCAGTCTCCTGGAAGCGGCTGAGCAGCGCCTCGCAGTCGGCCTGCAGGCCTGGAGGAGTCCCCATGCCGGCCACCCGCAAGCACACCAGACCCGGGTAGCGGAGCAAAGCTGGCCCAAGCACCCCTCCCACGTGACGTACGGTGAGTCGTGACGTGTAATCCGGTCCCTTTAGCTCCGCCTCAGCGTACCTCCGCCCCCGCCCCCGCCCCCAACGCAGGAGGTGTACTGCGCCTGCGTTTGCGGAAGGTTCTCGGGGCTGATCGTTATCTATGAAGTTAAGCCGCGGTCTTTTAATTTCATTGAAGAGGTTTACATATCAAGTGTCCACAGAGCGGGGAAAGGATTTTAGTATTCACATTTCGCTAGTTTCTGTAAACTGGTCTATCCTTATTTTCATGCTCTTTTGAAGTGATCCCAGAGTGATTCTGGGATAATGACTAGGGAAGAACTTTCCCTGCCTCCAATTATTCCCACGTGAAAAGAGGATTAAAGAGGGTTTACTAGGAAATGGAGTGGCTTCATTCTCTTACAGGTTCTGCCCACCTAATATGGATGGTACTTAACGCGTGACTCTCGTAACCCTGGCAGTCTTCTACCACCACGCTTGAGAAGCTGTTGTAAAGATCGTCCACCACTAACCCAACATGTCTTTGCCGAGAGTGTAAAATCTAGCAGCTTTTTTAGCATTGTTAAACAAAATTTATGAATTTAGATATCTGACTTTGGTCTAATTAATCTATTCATGAATTGAGCAGCATTCCATCTCGATAACTAAAAGGGATAGGCAAAGGTTGAAGACAGCATTTGACAAAAAGGAAAAACATATTGCACGTAAGCCACCTTCCCTCAAGATACTGCTACCTCACTGGTGTTGATTAGGAAAATCCAGGTTTATTCGCTTAGGGTTACACTTTTTGAAGGAGGTTGAAACTACAATGAGATTAGATAGTAAGTCTGAATGGGGGGGCCAAATGTCTCCCATTTAGGGACCTGTTTTGTTTTTGCTTTTTTAATTTTAAAAGCAGTCTCTATATTGTCTATATATCTAACAAAACCATCGCTTTAGAAAGGTCAGTTTTGCAACAGTACAATGTGGTGGGGATGGGACACACTGGGGCAGAAGACACTGAGGCAAGAACTGATGAGACAGACAGTATTAGTGTACATATAGAAAAGGGGGATAAGCAATAGCTATTGAGTCACAAATTCAATGATACTAAATCATTATTGTTTAGGTGTGATAATAGCATTGTGGTTCTGTAAAAAGTTTAAGAGCTATAAACTGAATTATCTGCAAATGAATTTATATGCTATCTGGAATTTGCTTCAACATTATGGTGGTGGATGTGTAAAGGTGTAGATGAAAAAGCTGTTAACATGATGGTAAGTGCTAGTATTGTGTTTGATGCTGTGATAAGATGTCCCCGTATCCCAGGAATGAAAGATTTCCAGGATGGTGGTCCTCAGTTGTCAGTGTTCTTGGGGAATTTCTAGGCTGAAGACATCAACCTCACTAAAAGGCATGTCTTTTTGTGTGGGTAGCTCCAGATGACTGTATGGTATAGGAGTATAAACACCCCATCATTCCCTGTAACTTAACTCTCAAGGCCTATCCCACGTCTAGAGGTCCCTGTGTAGCTGCTTCTACCCTTCCCATATATTGTTCCTTAAATCACTTCCTGACAAATCACCCTTTTATCTCCAACTATTTCCCAGGGAAACCAAACTGCAAAAGCACTTTGTCATCATCATAGTGTTGTCTTTACTTTTTAACATGTTAAAAAATTTCCAGCATGAAAATTTAAGAACCATACTAGACAGGATGTGGTAGGTAAGGGTGTGAATGGCAAGTGACCTCTAGAGCTCTGAATTTGATGAGTTCTTCTCTGGTTCTATTGATATAAGAAAAGGAATTCAGAGACACATCAAGGATTCAAGCAAAAAATCGGGCAACTGACCCAAAGCATACTCTTGGCATGAAAGTGGTAATGATCCTGGTTTTATAGCCATCCACCAGGGCAGAATAGCAGTCAAGCAGGATGGAGAATCTGTTTCTCACTGGTGATTGGCAACAAGAGGAAGGTAACAATCAAGGACCAGATTCTAGGGTTCCTGCAATAAACTCAGGATCAGGAAGGTATCAAGTGAAGACCAGGTTCCAGGAACCCTGTAGTTTTGGAGACTGGGTGGTCCCATTTACTGAGCAGGATATGTAAAAGGAGGAGCCATTTGAAGGACAGATAGCACTTTCTAATTAAACACAAACACACAAAATGATTGCAGCTACAGGTTAGTTTTTATTAGAACTTAAAAAAAAAGGTAACTTAACAGGAAATTTAATTTGAAAAAATAAACAATAGATTTTTCAAAAGGAGACAATTTTTTTAAGTGTAAAATGTAGTCACCTGTGGATATGGAGATATGAGGTTATTTATTCTAAGTAATACCTGGTTTTGTACTTTACATCAAACTGTACAATCACAACATGCTAATAACAGATTAAGTTTAAGGCTTAAGCTTTTCCACATTCCATAAACTCACCCTCTGTCCAAAATGATTATCTTCTCTCAAAGAACTCTCAATAGCTGACCTTAACAGGTGTAAGTATACTACATATTAAAAAAAAGAAAAATACCAAACCAGTCGGGGTAGATTGTTTCATTTAAGTATATCAAAGCGCACTCTTTAAAATAAACTAAGTCTTTGGGAGACTTACAGGGAATACATATATTATATATATTTGTACATATATATTTAACTAGATCAGTAGATGAAGACTAATTTTTAAAAACTTACATAGTTAACCACGGTCCAACTTGTTAGGAGATCGGAGATATTTTTCAATTCTACAAAGCACAGCATACACTGCCAATTACATTCTAGGAACTTGGGAGACAGCGCTAGTGCTCCCAGGGAGCTGTTTCATTCTCCCAACATCTACCCCCATTCCATCTAAAAAAGTTTGCGGAAAGACCAGATGTCAGAATTGAGCATCACTAAGACAAAGGGCAGTGCTGAGCCCTGGCACACCCTCCAGGCCCATCCAAAGGCAGGCGTGGCCTCGCCTCCCACTTGCACTCTCACACGTAGGCGGCAGCGGAGAACAGCTATCAAGCCCGCCAGGCGCGGCGCCCCGCAGCGGCCAGGAGCCGGGAGCCCAGCGGCGGAGGGCGGACCCGCAGCGGTGCTGCGCCCGATCACGTACCGGGGCGTGGTCCGAAACACGGCAGGAGGGGCTTGGGGAAGCTTTTCCGGGCCGCTAGTGTTTCGCATCCTTAGAATGTATTACCGGCAGCACCAGGCACCGAAGGAGTGCTGGATTCCTTTAGTATCCCTGGGATTTTTCTCTCTCCGCAGAGGGTATGACCACTGCGGCTCTCAGGCACCTGTTTTTCTTTCCATCCCGGAAGGGGGACAAAACAAGGAAATTAAGTAATACAAGGAGATCGGGTGTCTGGGCAGCATCTTGGATAAAACCTTCTACTACAGGTAAGAATAAAAATTACATCCAAAGCTTTTGAAAGGTGTAAACACAACATCTCCAGAAGGGCCGATTGGAGGATTTATGGTAAGGTGTAGCTTTTATTTTACAAGGGAAACTATTTTTTACCAGATTCTACAGATTGCACTTATTCTCTGTGAAATGACCTGGGACAGTAGGTTCAGGGCTATTTAACGGATGAAATATGAACACAATTAGTGGCAGACTTTGAAAACCGAGCGTAAGATTTATTTTTACGTTTTTGTTGCAAACAGCTAACAATGTTTGCAAAGGTTTAAAAAAAAAAACCCTATTGTGAAAACTATTATTTTTCAACTTTTTACCATTGCTGCTAAAAATTTAATTTCAAGTTTCTTCAAAACGAGTAACTTTTTTAAGTTCAACTTTAATGTAATTTAGAGACTTGAGAGGTTGTATGGGGAAATTAAGATTTAGAATGGTAATTGTGAGGTTATATATACTTTAACAAAAAACCTGATTTTGTCATTAAGTTAAAAAGCTCTGGAGCTCACCATTCCTGGTTTATTAATGTATGTTTCATACACCATCTCATTTACACGTGAAGGTAATGTGAGGTAATGCTTCCATTACCAGACTTGAAATCTCTAGTTCAGACTCCCTAAATAGCATTACAAAACACCAAGTTATAATCATTTCCTTTGTCTTGCCATCCCGTTTTTACAACCTTCCCTCAATGTCTTGTATTTCATTTACTTTAAAGGACACTTTCAGTTCCCACATACCCTAGGTGATTTCTCCTGTTTGATGCTTAAACAGTTAACACTGAGGAAAAGGTAAGTCCTATGAGATTGGCAGCAGGACAGGTAGTTTGCACCAAGCCTGTGAAGCTACCAGTGGTCAGTTTGACACTGAACGTTAGGCCAATTCTCAGTTTTCTCATCTACAAAGTGATATAAAAATACTAAATTATAGTTGCTTTTTTTCTTAATGTTATGAAATACATGTATGCTTGGCCCAAAGGGCTGTATACAGCACTTGAAGGTATGAAGTTTACCTTAATTACTTGATAGGTATTAAGGGCCATTGTACATAGTTGTAGCTTCTCTGTAGCTCCAAATACTAACTAAGGCTTAGGAAAACACACACAGCACTAAATTCCAATACTTTCTTCCGATGTGAAAATACTACTATGGTCATTCATTCAGCAGCAATAGAGAATGAGAAAGTATAGGCATGCAAAGGGAAGAAAAACTATTAGAGAACTATAGCTAGTAAGGGTCATACTTCTTGGAAAAAGGCATTGAGAAATTGGTAATGGTGATAGAGAAAGGGCACAACACTGGGAGGAGCTGGTTCTGCTATTTTGAACAGCTTCCACACTCCAGGGGAGTTTGTTCTCTGAAAGGCCAAGAGGTAAGTGCTTGTTTACTTCCTGCTCTTCTGACTGAAGAGGCTTTCCTCTCTCAATCATTGCTCTCACAGATCATATTGCTAAGACTCCTAATCTGACCATGTACTAGTATTTGAAAACTATAAACTAGTTTTCTACAAGATAGTTTACTAACCAACATAAGCAGAAATCTTGACATGTCAAACTGTGAAGTAATAAGCAACTACCATTATTCTAAAACACCACCTCTAGTACTTAA